GTAATCTGTAGCTAGTGCAAGATCTGGAACCCCCAAAATTCTAAACTAAATTGCTGGACGTGAGGAATTTATCTATTAATCATCTGCAAAAATAATTAACTAAATAACACTCTCCAAATAAAAATGACAGCAGTTCTCGTGAGCGCTAAAGTTTCTGTTTTTTACAGCAAGTTCAACAAGACTTTCCCCAAGTCTTCCCAACGGTTATACTTGGCACAAAAACTAATTAAACACAAAAAACACAACCAAAACAGAGGCTAAATAAATTATTTATTACTAAACAGGAGAAAAAAGTAAGGAATAAAAATAAAATTGGGTTCCCTCCCAACAAGCGCTATCGTTTAACGCCCCTAGCTAGGCATAAAAGCGAGGATAGATCTAGGTATTGCCATCTTTGGTAGGCAATCCATAAGTGGCTCTCATGATAGTTTCATATGGCAATTTTATTTTCTTTCTTGGAAAGTGTTCCATTCCCTTTTTTTAATGGAAATTGAAATCTAATATTCCCTTCCTTCATATCAATAATTGCACCAACCGTTCTAAGGAAAGGTCTACCAAGAATAATAGGGCAAGAAGGATTGCAATCTATATCAAGAACAATGAAATCTACGGGCAAATAATTCCTATTTGCAACAATAAGAACATCGTCAATCCTTCCCATAGGTTTCTTAATAGTAGAATCCGCAAGATGCAAGTTTAGAGAGCAATCATCAAAATCGCGGAAATCTAGCAAATCGCACAAAGTTTTGGGGATAGTGGAGACACTAGCACCCAAATCACACAAAGCATAAAACTCATGATCTTTAATTTTAATTTTAATAGTTGGTTCCCACTCATCATAGAGTTTTCTAGGGATAGAAACTTTTAACTCAAGCTTTTCTTCATAATATTGCATCAAGGCATCAACAATATGTTCGGTAAAGGCTTTCTTTTGACTATAAGCATGTGGAGAATTTAGCACGGATTGCAACAAGGAAATACAATCAATTACAGAGCAACTTTCATAATTAAATTCCTTGAAATCCAATAGAGTGGGTTTAGCAACATCTAGATTTTTATTTCTTTCAATCCCACTTTCATCAATTTCATCATAAAGATCTAAATACTCCGAATTTTTAGAACGCCTTCTAGGTAAAGGAAGATCATATTCAGTTTCATCAAGATTCATATTGCAAAATAAAGATTTAATAGTAGACACATCAATAACTTTTAGATCTTCATCTTGATTTTCATAGGAATTGGAAGAACACGCTTTAATAAAGGCATCTTTGGAAGCACGCATCCTAGCGGTTCTTTCCTTGCACTCATCAATGGAAATTCTCATGGCTTTGAGAGACTCATTGATATCATGCTTAGGAGGAATAGATCTAAGCTTTAAAGAATCAACCTCAAGAGAAATCCTATCAACGTTCCTAGCCAAATCATCAACTTTAAGCAAATTCTCTTCAAGCAAAGCATTAAAATTCTTTTGTGAATTCATAAACTATTTAACACTATTCTCAAATTCAGAGGGCATATTATTATAATTTCCATAAGAGTTGTTGTTGGAGTTCCCATAATTATTAGAAGGATTGCTAGGATATGGCCTAGGATTAAAATTCCCTCTATAAGCGTTGTTACCAAAATTATTCCTACCAACAAAATTCACATCCATAGATTCATTGTTATTCTCAATCAAAGTAGACAAAGGCATATCATTAGGATCAGAATAAACACTCTCAGTAGCAAATAATTTCATAAGTTCATCCATCTTTCCACTCAAAACATTTATTTCTTCTATTGCATGCACTTTTTTATTAGAAGATCTTTCGGTATGCCATTGATAATAATTAACCATAATATTATCTAGGAGTTTAGTAGCATCTCCTAAAGTGATTTCCATAGAAGTGCCTCCCGTGGCCGAATCTAAAAGATTTCTAGAGGCAAAATTCAATCCGGCATAAATTTTTTGTATAATCATCCACAAATTCAAACCATGAGTAGGGCAATTACGTATCATTAATTTCATTCTCTCCCAAGCTTGTGCAACATGTTCATGATCAAGTTGCTTAAAGTTCATAATATCGTTTCTAAGAGAGATGATCTTAGCGGGAGGGAAATACTTAGAGATAAAAGCATCTTTGCACTTGTTCCAAGAATCAATACTATTTTTAGGCAAAGACAAAAACCAAGCTTTAGCACGATCTCTAAGCGAAAAAGGAAATAGCTTCAATTTAACTACATCATTATCGACATCTTTTTTCTTTTGCATATCACATAAATCAACGAAGCTATTCAGATGAGTAGAGGCATCTTCACTTGGAAGGCCGGCAAATTGATCTTTCATAACAAGATTCAACAAAACAGTATTGATTTCACAAGATTCAGTATTGGCAAGAGGAGCAATCGGAGTGCTAAGGAAATCATTATTATTGGTATTGGTGAAGTCACACAATTTGGTAGTATCTTGAGCCATCGCGACAAACAAGCAATCCAACACACGAGCAAACAAAAGGCAAGCAAGAAAAAGGCAAACGGAAAAAGGGGAAGGAGAATGAGAAGGAGATTGAGAAAGAGAGGACGAATAAAACGGCAAGGGTGAAGTGGGGGAGAGGAAAACGAGAGGCAAATGGCAAATAATGTAATGCGAGAGATAGTGAGTGTGATGGGTACTTGGTATGTTGACTTTTTGCGTAGACTCCCCGGCAACGGCGCCAGAAATGGCTCGTTGTCGGGAGTCAAATCTTGACTTGCGCAAACCTCCCGGGCAACAGCGCCAGAAATTCTTCTTGCTACCTCTTGAGCTTGCGTTGGATTTCCCCGAAGAGGAAGGGATGATGCAGTAGAGTAGCGTAAGTATTTCCCTCAGTTTTTGAGAACCAAGGTATCAATCCAGTAGGAGGCCACGCTCAAGTCCCTCGTACCTGCACAAAACAATAGCTACTCGCAACCAACGCGATTAGGGGTTGTCAATCCCTTCACGGTCACTTACGAGAATGAGATCTGATAGATATAATGTTTTTGGTATTTTTGGTATAGAGATGCAAAGTGAAAAGTAAAAGGCAAAGTAAAAAAGCAAAGCAAGATTAAAGTGATAGAGATTGATATGATGAGAATAGACCCGGGGGCCATAGGTTTCACTAGTGGCTTCTCTCAAGAGCATAAGTATTCTACGGTGGGTGAACAAATTATTGTTGAGCAATTGGCAGAATTGAGCATAGTTATGAGAATATCTAGGCATGATCATGTATATAGGCATCACGTCCGTGACAAGTAGACCGAAACGATTCTGCATCTACTACTATTACTCCACTCATCGACCGCTATCCAGCATGCATCTAGAGTATTAAGTTAAAAACAGAGTAACGCTTTAAGCAAGATGACATGATGTAGAGAGTTAAATTCATGCAATATGAAATAAACCCCATCTTGTTATCCTCGATGGCAACGATGCAATACGTGCCTTGCTGCCCCTTCTGTCACTGGGAAAGGACACCGCAAGATCGAACCCAAAGCTAAGCACTTCTCCCATGGCAAGAACTACCCATCTAGTTGGCCAAACCAAACGGATAATTCGAAGAGACTTGCAAAGACAACCAAACATACATAAAAGAATTCAGAGAAGATTCAAATATTATTCGTAGATAGACTTGATCATAAACCCACAATTCATCGGTCTCAACAAACACACCGCAAAAAAGAAGAAGATTACATCGAATAGATCTTCACGGGAGAGGGGGAGAACTTTGTATTGAGATCCAAAAAGAGAGAAGAAGCCATCTAGCTACTAACTATGGACTCGAAGGTCTGAAGTAAACTACCCACACTTCATCAGAGAGGCTATGATGATGTAGAAGCCCTCCGTGATGACGGCCCTCTCCGGCGGAGCTCCGGAACAGGCCCCAAGATGGGATCTCGTGGATACAGAAAGTTGTGGCGGTGGAATTAGGTTTTTTGCTCCGTGTCTGTTCGTTTGGGGGTACGTAGGTATATATAGGAGGAAGAAGTACGTCGGTGGAGCTTCGGTGGGCCCACAAGGGTGGGGGGCGCGCCTGGGGGTATAGGGTGCGCCCCCTACCTCGTGCCCACATTGAAGCTTCCTTGGCGTAGGGTCCAAGTCTCCTGGGTCATATTCGGGAGGAAAATCACGTTCCAGAATGGTTTATTTCGTTTGGACTCCGTTTGATATTCCGTTTCTTTGAAACACTGAAATAGGCAAAAAGCAGCAATTCTGGGCTGGGCCTTCGGTTAATAGGTTAGTCCCAAAAATAATATAAAAGTGGAAAATAAAGCCCAATATAGTTCAAAACAGTAAATAATATAGCATGGAGCAATAAAAAATTATAGATACGTTGGAGACGTATCAATGCACACAAGTCTTTTTCTGACCATTGCAAAAGCCGTTGAGAGACATGATGACGGGTTTAAGCTCCGGAGAAATGCATGTGGAGAGATAAGTACAACCCGTCTGATGAAGTGCATTGATGCTGTTAGAGTCTTGGTATATGGGTGTTCGGCCTATGGAATTGATGACTATGTCTGCATTGCTGAAGACACAATCTTGCAGGTTATTTGAAGGTTCACTAAAGCAGTGATCGTTGCCTTTGGTCCAAAGTACTTGAGAGCACCAACTGAGAAAGACACCCAGAGGCTAATGATTGTAAATTGCAACTGATGTTCAGCCGCAAAGAGTTTGCACTGCCCAACATTATTTATTCCTATGTTGGAACTAACTTGTCTATCTAATGCCAACAAGGCCTAGCCAAAAAGAGACACCAGTTTTGGATATTCCTGTTAATGTTAATTTCTAAATTCAACTCTTGTGATACAGAAAGATCACACATCAATAACAAGCACATGTAACCCAATCATAAACTCGTTGTTTCATCGCAATGAAACTCAATAAGAAGCGCATCCTATAAAATTGCTAATATGTAGGCAAGCTATAAATCATCAAGATTGCTAATACAAGTATTTAGAACTGACTTCTCCATTTTTTTCCCGCAAGGTCACCTTTCTCATCACCTTTTCCGCTGCTTGAGGTAGTCGGACAATGCACACTGAACATAAGTTGGTTCAAGACCGGGCATCTTTTCAATAGAGCACTGCTTGACCGCTTCTAGTATTCCCTCTCTGATGTTAATGGCAAGCATCCATGCAATAGCAGGACGAATGTCCAATCTAGCCATGATGTAGACAACATCATCGTCACACAAGCTCAGAGTGGGCCCACCGTGAACCACCTTGTCCCAGCTCAACCTCTTGCCACCCGATACGTTAGGGTAACTTGAACGTGTGGCAGGCATGTTATCGGCCTTGACAGTGAACCTTTTGTTCCACTTCTTTGAGCAGACCCCCCTGCGCCATGTGGTGACCGTCCAGCCTTGGCCAATGACCCCCTTCTCATTGTGGGTGTCACTACGCCGACAAGATTTCAGCTCGACGAACCTGATCACGCCATTGCTTATTGTGACATCGCGGAACGGCCGTGGGTAGATATTGTCGACTCCCATGCCGAACCGCGACACCTGATTGCGGGGAATTCTAACAGGCCATTGGATCAAACGCATGACCGGACGGTGGTCAAGCACGTTGCACAGAAGAATGCCATGCCAATGATTGACCCAGCCAAGTGTTTCCCGTCCGGCGAAGATCACACGCGTGCTTTGGTGCCGCATTATTACCTCATGATTGGCAATGCCAACCACCTCGCTGCGCCACGACCCCTCAGAGATATTGGAGCGATACACATGGAGGATGTACTCCTTGCGGGCAGTGTAGTAGGCATGTCGCGGGATGGCAGGGAAAACCACAGCGTAGTCTTTGTTGTTGAGATCGGCGCCCCCGAAGGGCACGACACCGGCCAGCGTGAAATAGAGCGGATAGCGGTAGGGGCTGGGGAGAAGGCGGAGAGATGGAGCCCCTGGACCTGCCCTGTAGACGAAGAAATCCTTGTACTCAGAGCCGCCGGTGAATGGGACGACGAGAAGGACGAAGGCCTCCGCCGAACTCACAACCATGGGTTCTCCGGCATAGCGGCTCTCCGCCAAGCCGGGGAAGTGGACGAAGCAGTGAGATACGCTGGGTGGGTCGGCGAGCCCAAAGGTCACCTTGATGTCGTTCCTTTGGCTGGTGACGGCGTGGGCGGTAGTCGCGTTGTCGCAGTCGCCGATGTGGCACTTCGAGTCGGTGAGTAGCCAGGGTCGACGGGCCGAGCGCCAGGATGCGGCGGCGGCAGGGAGGTCTGACATGGCGGCGTGCGGTAGGTAACGCGGGCGAGCGGCAGCGGCGATTGGAATTAGGGATTTGTACTGGCGAAGATCCGTTTGGTTCGTGATGATAATTGATCGTCCGTCGAAGCACCTATACAAAGCAGGGGTGTGTACGTACAAGAAGCGTGCTTTAGTTGTAATCGGAACAGCTTATCAGAGAGTCCAGCTCGGAATCAGACCTACCTACGTACTCCTATTGCAATCAATATAAGCAGCGAGCACCCTCGTCTGTAAACACCAGAAAACCTTTGTACGTGTGTTCCTGATTCAGGCCGAGAGTAGGTTTTCAAAACAGGATGCAGATTTTCGTGGAGACTCTCGCCGGCAAGACGGTCCCCGTCAAGGTCAACCCATCAGACACCATCTACATTGTCAAGGCCAAGATCCAGGATCAGCAGCGCCTCACCTTCAATGGGGAGCAGCTGGACGACGGCCGCAAGCTGGCCGACTACGGCGTCCGTGACGGATCCACCCTTGGCCTCCGCCTCCATCCGCTCCATGAGAAGATGAAGATCCATGTGGTCGAGACGCTAACGGGCAGGGCCATGAACCTTGCGGTGACGAACTCAGATACAGTAAACAATGTCAAGGCCAAGATTCACGAGTGGCATGGCTTTCCCAAGGACCAGCAGTGCCTCATCTTCGCCAACAGACAGCTCGACGATGAAGGCAGCACCCTGGCGGACCTCAACATCTGCAACAACACCACCCTCCTCCTCGTCCTCCACAGCCGGTGCCTGAGAGGGAGGATGACCATCTACGTGAAGACGTTAAGAGACAAATTCTATAATCTTGAGGTGGAAAGCGCAGATACGATATATAATGTCAAGGAGAAGATCTGGGCTAAGGAAGGCATTCCACCGGACCTGCAGCGCCTCATATTTGACCGCAAGTTAATGGAGGATGACCGTACCTTGGCAACGTACAATATTCAGATGTATGAAGTTCTCTATTTACGGCTCAACCTACGTGGTTGAATATGCATGGCATGGTTATTGCACCATTAGATGTACTGTCGCGCTCTTCAGGAAACTGGAGTATTGCTCGTTAATGTGTTGGGCGAGTACTCTTGCTGAAGCACTATTTGGAAGTTCTTAATGTATAGTATTTTGAATTGTTGGCGTTAATGATTTTCAGTATCATTTTGCGTGATAGCTACAATGAACTGGCCAACAACTTGACATTGTTGATAACAAATAATATATGGTTGTGTGTTGCGACGTGTGTGTGCATGACGCCAATTAGTACGTATCTCGTTGTGGTTAGCTTACTCTTATTTTTGCGGGCGATTAGCTTACTTTCATGCCGCGAGCCAATCTATAATGCACGGACATACAACTGCTTGATCCGATAATATATAATAGCGCGACAAATCACATGGCAATGCATGAAAGAGAAGAAAGACGTTTCCATTAAGAAGAACAGAATTAAATACACAAGATCTTGAATAACAAGAACAAGTTTTTGTCATTCCAAGGGGGACAATCACACCGCCACACTACACATCATAAAGGTCTACTCCTCAAGATAGCCTGCATGTTGCCACTTAGCCGTAATCCACAGCCGCCGCCGCATAGACCATTCTCTGAACTAGTGAAGCTTTATTGTCACAAACACGAGCATTTCTCTATAACTCACACCCAAAGCTTCAGAAGACCAACAATCAGAATGGTGACCACATCTTTTCTTTTCATTAGGTTGTTACCTCTATCCATGGAGCACCACCATTCCCTCACCGTAGAACCTGCAGTTTGCGTTAGTCTTGTATAAGCCCGAACAGCACAGCAGAAGCAACCAGAACTGGCTCGCGAAGGGGCATTGCACCAAAAGATGATCGTCTCCGGCTGCTGGTCACACAGGACACAAACGGTTCATAGACTTGCCAACCAAGCATTCAAACAAGAAAACAATAATATATAATAGTTCCATCTCAGCAGGAATTGCAGAAAAGATATGTCACCCCGAGATCTCAACATATGCCTATATATAGAGCTGCTCTCCATCGCGCTTTCGCCAACGGAACACAAAGGCATCTGCATAGCAGATCAAGCATACTTAAATCGTTTGAAGCATGGCTAGGCGAGACGCCTTTAGTCTTACAATATCTCACGCTTTACAATATTATATAACGTAAGGAGACTTATTCGCTATAGTATTACAGTTAGTTCCTCCAAACATTCAGTTCAGGAGGGCTTTACTGGGGGAATGTTGGCACTCTTCGTTACATCTGGTGCGTATGTTGAGGACGTTCAACTCTCGGACCAGCTAGATGCCGTCCACTGGAAATTACCTAGGAACGGTAGTTTATGGTGAAATCTATGTATTTAGACTTAATTAACTCTGGGCCAATAACGAGATCCCTTCACATTTGGAAGGTTAAAGTTCCGCTAAGAATCAAAATCTTCATGTGGTTTGTCCATAAGAAAGTGATTTTAACCAAGGATAACTTGGTAAAAAGAAGATGGGTGGGTAGTTCATGATGTTGTTTTTATGACCAAAATAAGACAATAAAACACCTCTTTCTCGATTGTCCTCTCGTCAAACTACTCTGGCGCATGATACATATAGCCTTTAACGTTAGTTCTCCGATTAGTATGGACAAGTTATTTGGGACGTCGCTAACCGGAGTGGAGTCACATGTTGCGGGACATATTTGGATAGGGATATGCACATTATTTTGGGCTATATGGAATTGCAGAAATGATATTATCTTTAACAGGAAAAAAATTATCAACTTTTTGCAGGTTATACAGAGAGCCACTGTTTGGATCCGTACGTGGTCGTTACTCACACGTGCGGATTCGAGGGAGTTTTTGAATATTGGGTGCAACCGGTGGAAGATGGTAGCACGGATTATCTACAATCAGTATGGATGGCGATCCAATAATATGGTAGGTGTTTAGTTATCTTGGCCTATTTTTCACTGGTTATGGTAGTTCTCTTTATACTAGTTTGTTTGATACTCCTTCTGTGAACTTTTTTGAACTTGAGACTTTGTTTTGAAACTTCAGATCAATAAAATGGCTGCATGCATCATTTCGATGCAGAGGCTGGGGAAAATCCTTATTTTCGAAAAAAAAATCGTTTGAAGCAGCTATGAAAAGCAGCACGCTGATGGCGATCATGGTTCTCCAGGCCGCTCTGGTCATGGGGATCTTCCCAGGGATGTGCAACAGTGATGTACACGCAACATCCCTAGGCGAGAGCCAAGTGATCGACATCAACCCGGGTAGGCTGGGGAGCTGCGCCAACTGCAACTTCTCCTTCTCAGGTCTCTACACCTGCAAGAGTTGCGCTGTCGTGAATACCCTGTCATGGAGTTCAGGTGCACTGACACCTTCCTCGGCGCGTGTGAACCCCCGCGCAAGAAGAACTGATGGAGCTAGCTCCACTCTGATTTGTCATTTCTGCTCGTGAATACAAAAATGTTTTGTAGGACATGATGAATAAACTAGCTGACAGTGCCACTTGTACTGCATTGTCTACTGCTCATTTGTAATTATACACCTGTTTTTTTTTTGTTAGAAGTTCCAAAGTTTGCAGGAGCATCTTTGTAAGGTCATGTGAGATTGGATAAAACTGTAAAACAAAAGGTGAGAAAACTGCTATACAAGCCTTGGACAGATAGACGATGCTTTTAGGCCGGCCGATAGCGGTGACATGCCCGACATACTGGCAAGAAACAACACGAGCTCAGCCAAACTTTTAGGTTGAATAACACTGGAACGGTGCGCACGGTTCATCTTTTCTTTTTTTAGAAAATGAGGATGACTCCCGGCCTCTGCATCTGAACGATGCATACGACCACTTTATTAATTATTCTCACAAGGCCTTACAAAGTCATACAACAGTAAGACTAAATCCACCGTCTAAGCAACAATTGTCGTTACACCTATCCAATTGATGAAGGGGCGCTGATAGCCTGAGCCTAATACCAAACAGACATTGCAGCCAGACCTAACATCTAAGACCTGAGGACAAAATCAGGACGCCTGCCGGGTATGTGCACCCACCAGTCCGGCGTGCTCCTCAACCAGGACGCCTGTCGGGTATGAGGCCGCCGCAGCCACTTGCCACCAATCCATCTTCAGAGCTGTACTGCTGCATCTACCTTGCACGGTCTAGCTACCGTCGACGCCACCACGACGCCAGACTTCTTCCTCCTCCACCAGTCCGGCGTGCTCCTCAACCAGGACGCGCGGTTCATCTTAGTTTTATCAACTTTTGAAGGGTAACATCCAAATGTCTAGAAATATTTGATGGTCATGTTCAGGACAAAGCATGTTCAACACTAAAGTAAGCTTACAACTTTTCAAGCCTAGGCAAGGAGGCAAGGATAGTTTGCCGAATCAATCAACATTTCAGATAATTATGTACCACTACCAAGTTCATTGAACTTCTGAACC